GTCCTCAGAACTTTCAAATAACTTGAGGTGTTTTATGATTAATAGTGATGTTGTGCTTTTGGACACTGTCCTCAGGCTCCAGCTTTATGTTTATATGTTTTTATGTTGATGTGCTATTGTTTTTTATTTATTTTATTTTATTTGTATATTTAACCTATTCTTGACTCTGTGGTTCTTGCACTTGTTTGGGGAACAGGATTTCATTATTTTTATCTACATTTCTGCCTGAGAAATGACACCCTGATATAGTTCTGTGATCTGTGAAACAGTTCTGTTAATCACTGAGGCATTGTGTGTTTGTGTGTTCTTTTTCTTTAGAATTTTCAAATAAACTTGACGTGTTTTATGATTAATAGTGATGTTGTGCTTGTACTATTTTGGACACACTGTCCTCAGGCTCCAGCTTTATGTTGTATGTTGATCGTATTAAAACAAAGAAAACAATCTGAAGTTGTTGTTTTTAAGTTATATATACCATGATTTTTCCGGTTCGGCCCACTTGGGAATAGATTTTCCTCCATGTGGCCCCTGAGCTAAAATGAGTTTGACACCCCTGGTGTAAAGGAAAGAATGAATGGCGCCATGTATCCTGAGATTTTGAGTAAAAACCTCCTTCCATCAGCAAGGGCATTGAAGATGAAACGTGGCTGGGTCTTTCAGCATGACAATGATCCCAAACACACCGCCCGGGCAACGAAGGAGTGGCTTCGTAAGAAGCATTTCAAGGTCCTGGAGTGGCCTAGCCAGTCTCCAGATCTCAACCCCATAGAAAATCTTTGGAGGGAGTTGAAAGTCCGTGTTGCCCAGCGACAGCCCCAAAACATCACTGCTCTAGAGGAGATCTGCATGGAGGAATGGGCCAAAATACCAGCAACAGTGTGTGAAAACCTTGTGAAGACTTACAGAAAACGTTTGACCTGTGTCATTGCCAACAAAGGGTATATAACAAAGTATTGAGAAACTTTTGTTATTGACCAAATACTTATTTTCCACCATAATTTGCAAATAAATTCATTAAAAATCCTACAATGTGATTTTCAGGATTTTTTTCTTCTCATTTTGTCTGTCATAGTTGACGTGTACCTATGATGAAAATTACAGGCCTCTCTCATCTTTTTAAATGGGAGAACTTGCACAATTGGTGGCTGACTAAATACTTTTTTTCCCCACTGTATAAATATGGGATTTCATCACTGAGCCATAGAGGGATCACATTTCTGACCTGCCCCTCACCCCCGTTTTCCCTTTCTTGAAGCAGACAGCATGTAGTAGATGAGTCACTGGTACTTAAGGAAGAAAACACTCTTTACAGGAGGTTGTCAGTAAAAATAAACTAAAACATTGTTTTGACCCAGTTGGGTGGGTGCACAATGTACAATCGTTGCTTATTCATCTCGGGAGCATGTGTACTTTTCCTGTGCTCAAATAAACAATCATGCAATAGTTCATATAAGGGTTGTACATTTATATAGTTTAAATATGATAGTGTATTGCAATGTAAAACTGGATCTATGTTTCATTAACCTACTATGCAGTTGTATCCAATCCTTCTGAGCTGTCTGAAATGTTTCCATATAGTCGTTCGCATGAGATGATAAAATCGTGTTTTACCTAACATTAAATAAATGACATTTTGTCACACGATGCTTGAGCGTGGGCCCTGCAAGTACAGTATTTTGTGATGCAACTATGCAATAAAAGCCAGTGTAGATTAATAAAGAAAACTTGTATCAAACATCTTTATTTGGAAACAATTGTCCAGTGGACAAAGTGACATTCTATTGCAGTGTCAGAATCTGGGCAGTTAAAGATTCCATTGTTTTCATCTCAACTCCAGTATGCCCTACATTGCCCCCCTAAGGCTGAAGGTGAAGGTACACCATATGGACACCAGGGGCGCGTTCAGCACCACACAAAGTTTTGGAACGTTCAGATAAAAACATGTTATGTAGAACAAACATGCCTCTCCGTCTCCGACATGTAATCACGTCGGCTCTATTCATGGCATTTCTATCTGCAACATTCAACAACGTTTAGAAACTGAACGTGGCCCATAATAGGCCCATGAGGCATAGATAATCCTACACATAGGCTATCCTCATTACAATTTGCATGAAATCCTTTCAACATCAGAAGAGTGAGTAGCTAAAACATTGTGAGCCAAAACAAGTGCTCAGATATCTTGCACTGTCCTTGAGTTTGTAAAGCTGATTTGTTACAAAAATATGACTGGCTCCAAAACACTTTGAAATAGAGAGATAATGAATTAAATGTTGCAAAAAAAAGAATTCAATAGGTCTATAGCCAACCACCTTCACAAGTCAATTATATGGAATGCAAAATACGCAACCTATAGCATAGAGTTGTCACACTGGCAACTTTGTTTCATAATTGGCCAACTTGTATGTTACATACCTTTTTATAGTGTTCCAAGATAGACGAAGTGTCGAGCCAAAATAATATATCAATTTACTTATTTATTGTCAAAACCTCTCTATCTTATTGGCTGGTAGTGATGTCTGTTCTAGTAAAGCGTAGGCCCTAAAGCCTGACCAATCGAAATGCAGACCTGTTCAATTCAAGTGTTGTATTAATTTTACCAAAGTGCATCATGCTTCAAGAGAAATTAGGGATTATTAGTTGAAGATGTGTAGCGAAACTGCAATTGCACAGCAAATATTGTGTATTTTAGTTGAAAGGTACCTGGTGATTACCTGATCAGGTAAGTAAATGTATTCAAACATTTAAACATGCACAAGCTACTGAGCACTAAACGTTTTTGGTTTCCCAGGAACGTTCAGCGCTTTGAAAATGCCGAAAACACCTGAGCAGTGGTATAAACAAAGGAGAAGATATTTTGCCTAGCTGCGATTCACTTACCCTGAAATCACCATCACCTTAAGCTAGAGGCAACACCACTGCCCTTCAACTGAAGAGGAATCATAAGCAGTACTATAGTCATAATATGTTACCTGAGAAGAATCCTCTGGTGAGAGAGTTTTCATCATCCTGTGTCTATGAGGTACCTGACTCTGGTGGTGTTTCCCATGACCTGACAGCTTCCACATCTTATTTTTATTTAACTAGGCAAATCAGTTAAGAACAAATTCTTATTTACAGTGACAGCCTACCCCGGACGATGCTGCCGGATTACGATACAGCCTGGAATCGAACCTGGGTCTATAGTGACGCCTCTAGTAGATGCAGTGCCTTAGACCTCTGTGCCACTCGGGAGCCCATGGCCTTAGCTGTCACTACCTCTGTTTGCTCTGGCGTTGAGGCTAGAGACATGAACATCTGGATTCCTGAGAAAGCTGAAACACAGCCACAACTTTTTTTTTTCTTGAGCGGCCCAAGCAATACAGGCCCCAGCCGCTTGGAGTACAATTATAGTTTCTAAATCTCCCAGTGCTGTGAGTTCTCCTAAGAAGGTAATCGATCTGTATCAATGTTTCACTGTTAGTAAGAGGGCAGATTCTAAACACAAGCACCTGATAACCCTGTACATTAAGGATGAGTACTTTGTCATGAGAGCGAAGAATAAGGAGGAGCAAGAGGATCGGTACCTGGCTCTGAATGATCTGATGATCTAGGAGAAAAAGAGCACCAGGACACTGAGGAGTTGGATTATGGATACTAGACAATCTCTCCTGGCACCATCTTCAAGGAGGTGTGGCAGTTGATCGTGAAGCCCAAAGGTTTAGGGCAAACCAAGAACCTAACAGGGCCATTCACCTGGTGAAGGTGAGCTCGGAGATGCTTCTGTGAACCTGCCTATGATGAATGTCCGTCGCTGTGGTCACTCCGAATGCTTCTTCTTTATACAGGTGGGTCACTGGTCCTCTACTGGGTCCGGGGAGATCCGGATGCAGATAGACCCTGTAGTGATGCAGATGATATCCCTTCAGAAGTCAACGTGCCCCCCACTCCTCCTCAAACACCTTGCACTACCATATTCCCCTCAGACCAGGTGGGGCTACATGATGATGCTTCCACATAGCTGTTCACCAGCAAAGGACAGCCTTAGTGATGTTGATCATTCACTGTGATGAATACATGAACATGTCTCTTTGGAGCCCCATGGAATGCCATACACATGGCTCACCCGGGGCTGTTAAGTCCTGCAACTCTTATTCCTCTCTACCTAGCTCCAACCAGCCCCCCTCACAGAGGAACTGTGAGCACGATGACTATCTCCTCATGTGCCATCCTGCAGGTCATCACTGCTCTGCAGTTGAATGGTAGAAGCCCTCTCATTAGCTCACCTCGTCAGACTTCTCATCCAAACGGTGATGTGCATGTGTTGAATGTCACTGGTTTATCCTGCTTTTGAAACAATTAATTCAGAATAAACCAGATTGTGAATACTCAGCCTCGTGGCCTATAGGATTTTCTTCTCAGTTTAATTATTCATAATGAAAATATCTGTCATGTTTATTTTATTTTGGTGGTTGTTGCTACACTTGGAGAATGTGTTCCTATAGACCCATGCAAAGAAGTTGGTTTTGTATTGGTTGTCAATTTGAAGAATATACTTTTTGTGAAGGCCTTACTGATTTGTCTTTTTCATGAATGAAGAGAGGGATGCGTTGTCTTTTCTTATTTTTCACAGGGCATTTACTGGATAGTTGCTCTGTACCTGTATGGAAGTCAGCACTTTTTTACATTTTTTTTTTTACATTTTAGTCATTTAGCAGACGCTCTTATCCAGAGCGACTTACAGTTAGTGAATACATGTTTTTTTTTGGGTTATGAAAAAAAAAGTATTTTGTATTGGATTACCACGCCCTGGTGATATCACCCTTTTATGCCCGAGATAGGATTATACCATTAAAATAAAGCAAATGCAGTTATCCACAGCTTGTCTCCATTTACTGGGTTAGATGTACAACAGGTAATACTATAACCATTATAATTAAGTTGTCACCACAGGCTATCATCCTCAGTACTAATACAGTGGGCTGCAGGGACAATCAATAACCATCATAGAACAACAATTAATCAGTGGAAAAAGGTTAGCAGGAAAAGATGCAGGGTTAGGTTCATCACAATATAAGGAGCCAGTTAACTAATGGTCGCTCAAGGCTCTAGTCTACACATTCCCTTTCCACATGACACCGTGCACAAGGCCATTTTAGCTCCTTCTCACAAATACACATTAGGAAGATGGTGCTAAAACAGAATCTCAACCCTGAGGCTGAAAAATAAAGTGTTTAAATATATTTATTGTCAGGCATATTTACATGAGTGTGCAGGGGCGATGTTCCATACCAATACCTTGGGAAAACCCTTACTCTAACCATTGAATAACATACATATATTTAAGAGAGGCACTTTTCTTAATAAAACAAGTTATTTGTTGTATGTTTGTATTTTAACACTGAAAATAAATATGTCTGCATATTTGCTGTCTCCAGGCATCAGGAGGTAGTGTGTACTGAGGAGATGGCTTCTTCAGCTATATCATCCTCATGCCTGTCTTCACCTAGGTCCCTGGCGTTGTTTCCACAACATCAAAGTGAGACAGTGCAAGCTTGAATTTACTGTGTACACCATGTTCCTGCCTTAATTTGGTCTCTTTGTTTTGAGTTGTTGTCCAGAATCTTTCCTTATCTAGTATTGTCTCTTGTTGGTGATTTTTTTGCAAAGTGGTAAGCAGTTTATGCTTGATGTTGTTCTGAGGCACTTCTACAGCACAGTATGGAAGATGGTAGCCAAGGGAATCAACCCAATCACCATCATCCACTGGACTGGGCGGAGGGGAGGGGAAGCTGGTCACACGTTAAGGATCTCAAACTCCTCTTCAGACTCAAACAGCTTGTCGGATGATTCGATGAACTCTGTTCAAAAAGAGAACACAACAGTAATCCGTTTGACACGGCACACTTGAGTTTGTACAGTGCATTCGGAAAGTATTCAGACCCCTTCACTTTTTCCACATTTTGTTACGTTACAGCCTTATTCTAAAATGGATTAAATAAAATAAAATCCTCATCAATCTACACACAACACCCCCCTAATGAGAAAGCGAACAGGTTTTTAGAGATTTTTGCAAATGTTTTAAAAATAGGAAACAGAAATACCTTATTTACATAAGTATTCAGACCCTTTACTATGAGACTCAAAATTGAGCTCAGGTGAATCCTGTTTCCATTGATCATCCTTCAGATGTTTCTACAACTTGATTGGAGTCCACCTGTGGTAAATTCAATTGATTGGACATGCTTTGGAAAGGCACACAACTGTCTAAATAATGTCCCACAGTTGACAGTGCATGTCAGAGCAAAACCAAGCCATGAGGTTGAAGGAATTGTCCGTAGAGCTCAGAAACAGGATTGTGTCGAGGCACAGATCTGGGGAAGGGTACCAAAAAATGTCTGCAGCATTGAAGGTCCCTAAGAACACAGTGGCCTCCATCCTTCTTAAAATGGAAGAAGTTTGGAACCACCAAGACTCTTCCTAGCGCTGGCCGCCCGGCCAAACTGAGCAATCGGGGGAGAAGGGCCTTGGTCAGGGAGGTGACCAAGAACCCGATGGTCACTCTGACAGAGCTACAGAGTTCCTCTGTGGAGATGGGATAATCTACCAGAAGGACAACCATCTCTGCAGCACTCCACCAATCAGGCCTTTATGGTAGAGTGGCCAGATGGAAGCCACTCCTCAGTAAAAGGCACATGACAGCCCGCTTGGAGTTTGCCAAAAGGCACCTAGATTCTATGGTCTGATGAAACCAAGATTGAACTGTTTGGCCTGAATGCCAAATGTCACGTCTGGAGGAAACCTGGCACCATCCCTACGGTGAAGCATGGTGGTGGCAGCATCATGCTGTGGGGATGTTTTTCAGTGGCAGGGACTGGGAGACTAGTCAAGATCGAGGGAATGATGAACGGAGCAAAGTACAGAGAGATCCTTGATGAAAACCTGCTCCAGAGCGCTCAGGACCTCAGGCTGGGGCAAAGGTTCACCTTCCAACAGGACAATGACCCTAAGCACACAGCCAAGACAGCGCAGGAGTGGCTTCGGGACAAGTCTCTAAATGTCCTTGAGTGGCCCAGCCAGAGCCCGGACTTGAACCCACTCGAACATCTCTGGAGACCTGAAAATAGCTGTGCAGCGACGCGCCCCATCCAACCTGACAGAGCTTGAGAGGATCTGCAGAGAAGAATGGGAGAAACTCCCCAAATACAGGTGTGCCAAGCTTGTAGCGTCATCCCCAAGAAGACTCGAGGCTGTAATCGCTGCAAAAGGTGCTTTAACAAAGTACTTAGTAAAGGGTCTGAATACTTATGTAAATGTGATATTTCAGTTTTGTATTTTTTATACATTTGCTAAAATTTCTAAAAACCTGTTTTGCTTTGTCATTTTGTGGTATTGTGTGTAGATTAATGAGGGGAAAAAACAATTTAATCAATTTTAGAATAAGGCTGTAACGTAACAAATTGTGGAAAAAGTCAAGGGGTTTGAAAACTTTCCAAATGCACTGTATGTTTCAGTTGAGATTAAGCACTACATAGAAGTTTCAATAAGGTTCAAATAATAAGAGCAGTCATGCACCTATAAATAAATGCACTTCATGTATAGACCTATATTGTAATTTCAAAACAATATAGAGAAATAAGAGTGGAAGCTGGATACCGGTATCCCTATAATTATTTGCTGCCAGAATGTATTGTTATTGGTGTAATATTCTGGGTCTGTCTGGTGGCTTGGCTCATACCTGCCCCTGTGGTCTGAACCTCTGGTTTGGTGGGAGGAACGAAAGGGGGCCAGTGGGGCGGGTGATTCTCCACCAGCTCAAACATCCGCAGGTTCCTCTTCATCTGGATCTCCTTAAAAGACGACGACATGGGTCTCAATCACAAGAGAATAACCTCCATCTGAATTGACTTGTGACTTGAGTAGATGACTCTTACCTGCTGGACCAGGTTACACCAACTGTCAAAGTCATCTTCACTCTTACAAAAAAATCCCTTGAAAAAACAGACAATTTTGATAGGCAATTACGTGGCAAGATCATCACCACGGTACACAAAATTCACATTGGAGCAAGACTTTAGAACATGCCACTAGGCACTTAAATTATCATATTAACTATGCAAACAAGGCCCATGAGACAGGAGGCTCAGTGGCATAGCAGGCTGTGGTAGTTGGTGTGTGGGCTCAGCTCTCACCAGGGCCACAGAGGGGTCCAGGTTGGTGATCTTCATGCGGCGTGGACTCCTCAGACAGTGGTAGCTCTGGTCGTCCACTCCGCTGCCAGCCTCTGACTCCACGGCTGACTGGGTGGTGTGGGGATCCAGGTAGATCAGCTCCTCTCCTGGAGGACACATACAGGCCTGGCTCAACACAGTTGCTAGACAACTCACAGGCTTATTTTTTTGCTTCCTTTTTTGGGAACCTTCAGTTACAGCTTCCTTTAGACTCACCTACAAATCCAATGAAGTAATAGGCCAGATTGGGCTTTCCTCCCAGCACACCACAGGATTGTGGCATTTTAAAACACTCCTGAGTAGGAGAACACAGAGTCAGACCAGTATAACTATTTAAAGGCAACAATAAATACAGGAATATTGCATTGTAGATTAGTATCAATTGAATAAGAACAGAGAAATGAATTGTACCTTAAGGGCCTGGATGTAGACAGGGTTGATGTGGTTGATTCCCATTCGGAGAGGTATGACCAGCAGCAGGGGCCTCCAGTCAGAATGAGACTGGGATTGAGAATGTGGACACGTCGTGGCTCTGTTCCCGTGTGTGTGCGAACAGGCTTGCTCTGGTGTTTCTCCAGAGGTGAAGGGTTCCCCCCAGCTACAGGGTCTGGGCCGCAATCTGTTCCCTCTGCTTGCCTGGCGACACTGCTTCTCTGGAGAGGACATGGAAAGAAAACATTTGTGTCTTTGGCATCACCTTTGTGATCCTATACAGAACTCTCAGATGGTAAGAGTTCAAAAAGTGAAGGAAAAAAAAAAACGTACTGATGTCCTCGATCACCACCGTGTTGTCCATTGACACATACACAGCAAGAGAATTCCAGTCATCAAATAGTGCAAGTTTCCTGAGGAGAGATAATAGGTTTCTTATTTATGCCCCAAATGTATTTTAGCTAGAAGTCACTGAGTCCACTACTGATCTTTTCAATGTGGCATAATCAATATTCTGAAATGAATAGATCAGTCGTAAAACATGCATATAAAATACTTACTTGAGCACTTGCGCAACTGTGTTTGGGCCATACCACTCTCCCACAGATTTCCCTTCACCGACCCCCATCTGAGCTGCAAGGAGATAAAGGAAAAGAAAGTTTCCTGCAAAGGTCTAAGTCATAGCTCCTGTCTAACCTGCCATCTATTTATCAGGCTATTTGATATTCCTTCTTCAAGTTACACATTTTTACTTTGAGGACCTGTCCTCTAGAAAAATTATAGGAATGTGAGAGAAGAAAAACATTTGATCTGCTGATTCATGGTAGGTGTGGTCAGACCAAGGTTAAGGCAGGGTTAGGTTATGACTCTCTCTTACCCATTTGGTGTACGGAGTAACAGCTGTCTTTCCTATCCAGGAAACAGTGGAGGATACGCTGGTACTCCTCTGGCTGTCCTCCCTCTGAACTCCAACGCCAGGCTACAATAGGAAAACAGTCCACAATCACTGTGCCATTCTGACATAGCCGCGCTACAGACACTATATTGGTCCACTAATACAGGACTAGTAAAGGCCCAGTGCACTACTTTTGTGAAAAAACAAAAAAATGTCAACAACAAAAATATTGCTTTTTCCCCTGATTTTTCAGGGGGTGCTGCAGCACCCTCATCACCCCTAATTCCAGCAGCAATGCATTCTGATAACCTGTCTGATAAAACCCCTTTCTCACTGTTGAATTGATTACATAGTAGTATACATATCACTACCTACTATTTGGAATTGTCAAAATCTCTCCCCTAGATGAATAATTCACATACAAACACCCCTTTGCTGATGCAGTTCCATATATCCCCACCCCATACAGCTACAGTGGGGGAAAACAGTATTTATTCAGCCACCAATTGTGCAAGTTCTCCCACTTAAAAAGATGAGAGGCCTGTAATGTTCATCATAGGTACACGTCAACTATGACAGACAAATTGAGAAAAATAATCCAGAAAATCACATTGTAGGATTTTTAATGAATTTATTTGCAAATTATGGTGGAAAATAAGTATTTGGTCACCTACAAACAAGCAAGATTTCTGGCTCTCACAGACCTGTAACTTCTTCTTTAAGAGGCTCCTCTGTCCTCCACTCGTTACCTGTATTAATGGCACCTGTTTGAACTTGTTATCAGTATAAAAGACACCTGTCCACAACCTCAAACAGTCACACTCCAAACTCCACTATGGCCAAGACCAAAGAGCTGTCAAAGGACACCAGAAACAAAATTGTAGACCTGCACCAGGCTGGGAAGACTGAATCTGCAATAGGTAAGCAGCTTGGTTTGAAGAAATCAACTGTGGGAGCAATTATTAGGAAATGGAAGACATTCAAGACCACTGATAAACTCCCTCGATCTGGGGCTCCACGCAAGATCTCACCCCGTGGGGTCAAAATGATCACAAGAACGGTGAGCAAAAATCCCAGAACCACACGGGGGGACCTAGTGAATGACCTGCAGAGAGCTGGGACCAAAGTCTACCATCAGTAACACACTACGCCGCCAGGGACTCAAATCCTGCAGTGCCAGACGTGTCCCCCTGCTTAAGCCAGTACATGTCCAGGCCCGTCTGAAGTTTGCTAGAGTGCATTTGGATGATCCAGAAGAGGATTGGGAGAATGTCATATGGTCAGATGAAACCAAAATAGAACTTTTTGGTAAAAACTCAACTCGTCGTGTTTGGAGGACAAAGAATGCTGAGTTGCATCCAAAGAACACCATACCTACTGTGAAGCATGGGGGTGGAAACATCATGCTTTGGAGCTGTTTTTCTGCAAAGGGACCAGGACGACTGATCCGTGTAAAGGAAAGAATGAATGGGGCCATGTATCCTGAGATTTTGAGTGAAAACCTCCTTCCATCAGCAAGGGCATTGAAGATGAAACGTGGCTGGGTCTTTCAGCATGACAATGATCCCAAACACACCGCCCGGGCAACGAAGGAGTGGCTTCGTAAGAAGCATTTCAAGGTCCTGGAGTGGCCTAGCCAGTCTCCAGATCTCAACCCCATAGAAAATCTTTGGAGGGAGTTGAAAGTCTGTGTTGCCCAGCGACAGCCCCAAAACATCACTGCTCTAGAGGAGATCTGCATGGAGGAATGGGCCAAAATACCAGCAACAGTGTGTGAAAACCTTGTGAAGACTTACAGAAAACGTTTGACCTGTGTCATTGCCAACAAAGGGTATATAACAAAGTATTGAGAAACGTTTGTTATTGACCAAATACTTATTTTCCAACATAATTTGCAAATAAATTCATTAAAAATCCTACAATGTGATTTTCTTGATTTTTTTTTCTCATTTTGTCTGTCATAGTTGACATGTACCTATGATGAAAATTACAGGCTTCTCTCATCGTTTTAAGTGGGAGAACTTGCACAATTGGTGGCTGACTAAATACTTTTTTTCCCCACTGTATGTACATGACTCGAGACATCCTCCTCACCTCGTCCCAGCTGTGAGCATACCAGGGCCTGTGCAAGAATCATCTGCCCACACCGTAGCATGCATCCCCAGCCTGCATCTGAAGAGGGGCCTGTTCCGCCTACAGACCAAACAAAGATAGACATTTAACCATCAAAGCAACTAGCCATCAATTGGATATCACAATAACATCTGCCTGTTTCACTCACCTATGGGAGAGAATTTTTTTCTGTAGGTGAACCATAACCGTGAGTGGACGTCTGATAGGAGCTCTGTCTTTTCTGTGACCACACAACAAGAAGCACTGTCAAGCCCTTATTCTGTTTCTTTTTCACATATAAATCACAATATGACTGCTAGAAGATGCCAGCCTACCTGTTTTAGCATTGTAACACTCTCCTAAAATCCATACAGGTTCATCAGTGTCAGGCAAGTCTTCAAGGAATTCAGAAAACACATTTATCTGGTTTTCATACTTGGCTAATACTGAAAGGAGACGTGGAAAAAGGGAGACTTGTCAATAAACATACATGATGTGATACACCAGTTCATACAGTTTATACACAATACGTTTTGGAATATGGGTTGATATTTAGCAGCAATTTGACATTATAATTTAGGTTTGCTGGAATTATTAGACATGTGGGTCGGTTTGTTGTTTCCAACACTATTTGTATATGCCTGATAACACACAGTGTAGGCTGTACACTAGCTCTCAAAACCCCTTCTTCTCTGTATTCAGGGTTCAGCCATTACAATCGTCCAGATTTGTCTCTGTCTAAACTAAAATTCCATGCTGTGTTTTAACGTTTAGAAACGTCAATAATCATCGCTTTTGAAACAGTTTTCGAAACATATGCTGATACGCCCCTTATCTTTCATGTCAGCGAGAAATAATCTTTCAAATAAAAAAAGATACACTTATGTAGCAGATTTGTACAGACTCATACACTGTGTGTGCCTCCAGTTGACAAACTACACTGCCTCCCCGGTTAGAGCCAATAATGCTTTATCCGAAAATGTGGTCGGAGGCGCCGTATTGATAGTGTGACGCAATTGCGAAGACTCTGGATGCACACAGAGGCCAAATTGAGCTCCATACCGCATCACTGTGCGCCTTTCAAATTTTGTAACAATGCGGACGCTCCGCATGGACATGATTGGACGACGGTAGGTGAAGGCGGAAGGTCCTGTATAAACACAAACTCACTTCCTTGACAACAGCTCTGCACTGCTCGGTGACACGCAAGAAGTATGAATGCCCTGACTTCTGCAGAGGCCATATCACCGTAAATGTTGCACGGCCAATGCAGACGTCAGATTGACCATGCAGCGACTTTTAGTTTACACACAAGTGTTCAGAGCATGCTAGATAGCTAATTAGCACAGGTGGCGGCCTATGTCTTCCATCCGTCTTCCGTAAACAAGCACTGTAAAATGAAGATAATGGCCTTGTGGGAACACTAACCCTATAAAATACATGGAGTAATTTACCTTTTTTTTTTTTTAATGATTTATCTCTGATATGAAAGATAAGTTCTTTATGTTTCCAAAACAGTACCGCAAGCGATGCGTGTTAATGTTTAGAGCAAGTGTCCGGGCTCTTAACAAAAAAAAAAAAACTGCCAGAAGACACTATCGTCAATAGGGCTAAAGTAGCGTCTATGAATGGGGTAGCTGTACACTACAGACTACAGTACAATACTGTATGTGACCAAATTACCATAACATCCTTACTCTGAATAAATACATCTCATCGTACTTCAGAGAAGAAGTACATTCCACTGACAATGCCCCCCTCTTCAAATGTTATGAAAGCCGAGCGAAACAGGCCACCAAGGAAACAACAATGGCTAAACTTGCACATCAGCCATGGCTTTTTACAGGGGCAAGTTTATAACGACCAACATCTTTAGAAAACCTATTTTTGCCTCAATGGCAGGACGATCTGACAACACATGTAAGGGACTAATTGGAAGGCGCATAATAAGTGAATAAGGTATGTTTAGTGGCTATTACCTGCCTCCATCCTCCGGCTGTCATCGGCGTTAAAAGGCAGGATACACACGTAGTATAACTTCTTGGGTAATGTAGTTTAAATGCGTTTGTGATTCATGACAACTAATAACATTTGAAACCATTATAAACTACATCTACCAAAATTACTCATAATGAAACCACGTGAGCGTTTCCAGACTGCAAAACATTACATGGCACTCTGGTTTTTGTAGTTTTTTCACCCATCAATATTTTTTTTATGGATTTACTTAGAGATAGCTATTCCCCATACTAAAAATATAAGTTTGCATTGTCTCAATTATTAAATGCGTGCCTGTTGCTTAAAATATCCTCCTAATTGATTGTTGCATGGGTTTACACTGGCTATGCTACAATGTATCTATCAGTCAGAAAACTTTAATGTTTTGTGGCAGTGTAATAGAGGATAAAAATCGAAATGTTATGTATCATGGGTGAATTGTGACTGACTGATCTACAAAAAATAATGAGAAGTTATTTATAATGCAAGGTTCTTTGTTGATCAAGTCGGCAGTCGCCTGCACTGTCGAACAAGCCCATTAAAATTGTAGCAGGCTCTTGCTTCGACAACGCTAGCTACATTGTTGCCACAGTAGATGTAGGGTGTGTTCGTAAATTCAATCTGGAGTGCCAGAGTGCGCTCTGGGCGTTCATAAACTCAGAGCGTTGTCCGTTCGTAAATTTAGAGCGTTTCGCTCTTGGAACGTACAATGGACGCTCAGGCCAAGGAGTAGGGTTGATCCGAGCGTTCTGCCTTTTTATGTTATCCAGAGCGTTGGTGACTGTAAATGTGCTGCTGGCAACAATTTAATTACGCTTTTTTTGCCAATGTTTACTGACACCGGCCATATTCAACGGGTGTTGAGCGTTCATAAATTCGTCAGTTATTCTGGGCTCTGGCACACAGACGAGAGTGCTCTGAAATTTGAGTAGATAGCCAGAGCGAATTTACGAGCGCACCCTTACAATACATAACGCCCCTAGTGGCACAACACTACTGCGTTACATGGACATCATATTTGCATCTAGCTAGCGTGAACCGGGAAAGCAGTTTGACTGATAAAAACAACATCCTCTTGATACGTGATTGTTAATCCAAATAATGTTTTAAGAATATAAGATCTAGTCATGAATCTTCGGGGATTCTTTCAAGATTTCAACCCCAGGTAACGTAAAGAGAAATCTAGCTACTGTTAACTTAACGTTTCGCGTTAGAGCTAAGTTACCAGTAACTAACTTAACGTTAACGAACTAGCTAGCTATCTGAACCGGTGAATCATTATGACCTCTGACCCAACTAACTAACATTAGCTAACTAATTTAGCTATTATATTGGGGAAGGACAGCGTTAGCTAGTTAGCAAGCATTGATGTTAGCTAGCCAGCCCTGTTTTACGGTCGTTAATATTAGCTAGGTAACGTTAGCATTGCATGCCAACTAGCTAGATAACTAACCAGCTGACTCCACTGAGCTCAGCTTCCTTGTTCTGGAATTGCGTGGGGTGCACATTTTTGTACCAGCCCTGCACTAACATAATCTGACGAGTAGCAAGCTAAATAGATTGCTGAATAGATTCATGGTTGATGAAATGGTGTGTTTTTTTCCCCCCTCCCTTCTCAGTAAGTTCCTCATCTATGCCTGCCTGCTGCTGTTTTCTGTTCTACTGTCCCTGCGTCTGGATGGCATCATCCAATGGAGCTATTGGGCAGTGCTTGCCCCAATATGGCTATGGAAGCTCATGGTCATCATCGGTGCATCCGTTGGCACAGGCGTCTGGTCCCATAACCCACAGTACAGGTGTGCTTTTAAACCCAAATGCCTTTATTTTTTGTTTTGTATTTTTTGTCAATGTGGCTGTCTTATCAATATGAAATTGTCATAAGGAGAAAGCTGTCTGGTTGCCATACCTGTCACTGCTGACTAGTATGTATTATTTACTGTGCCTATCATGCTGGCAATGCAGGGCTGAGGGTGAAACCTGTGTGGAGTTCAAGGCCATGCTGATTGCTGTTGGGATACACCTACTCCTGCTCACCTTTGAGGTGCTGGTGTGTGACCGTGTGGAGAGGGGCAACCACTTCTGGCTGCTGGTCTTCATGCCCCTCTTCTTCGTCTCGCCTGTCTCTGTTGCAGCCTGTGTGTGGGGATTCCGCCATGATCGCTCTCTAGAGGTCAGACATTTTATCAGTTACAAGGATGTTATTTTCCTCAAATAGCATATTTAGGCTAGATCTTGGTGATTTATAATATATTTATCTATCTACCTCCCTCGTTTTCCCTCCTCACCCATTTTTTCTGTTCTTCCTATCTTTCCTTGTATTAGTTGGAGATCTTGTGCTCGGTCAATATTCTCCAGTTTATCTTCATTGCCCTGCGACTGGATAAAATCATCAGTTGGCCATGGCTGGTAAGAGAACTACCTGCCTAATATTTAGGTCTGGAAAATTATGGGAATTGAGTACAATTTATAGCGAGTTGGAATGGAAATATACTTAGGCATTCTGTTGATTTTGTCTTCCAGGTTGTCTGTGTCCCACTGTGGATCCTCATGTCCTTCCTATGCCTTGTGGTGCTCTACTACATTGTCTGGTCAGTGCTCTTTCTGCGATCTATGGACGTCATCGCAGAGCAACGGCGCACTCACATCACCATGGCTATCAGCTGGATGACAATCGTTGTACCCTTGCTCACTTTTGAGGTATGTGGTCATGCCATCCATCCCCCAGTTATTAGTGTGTTCAGAGAGCTAAAGAAGCTGGGAAGTTTTTATTGTTGTCTCTGTCATTGGCTCTTCAGATCCTGTTGGTCCATAAATTGGATGGCCACTACAGCTCCAGCTATGTGTCAGTGTTCGTGCCTCTCTGGGTATCCCTAGTGACTCTGATGGCCACAACCTTTGGCCAGAAAGGAGGCAACCACTGTGAGTTATTCCTCAGACAGTGATAGCAGTGCAGCAGAATTAATTGCCATTTAAGTCATATTGAGGCAGTGTTCTTTTTATTTATCTGAGATTCCAGTCAGTGTAACTCTTTAAATGTTGCTTCAAGCTATATTTGTTTTAACTGATTTTTCTATTTTCTAACAGGGTGGTTTGGCATCCGAAAAGACTTCTGCCAGTTTCTTCTAGAGCTCTTTCCCTTCCTGCGGGAGTATGGGAACGTTTCTTATGACCTGCACCATGAGGACCCTGAGGTGTCCGAGGAGATGCCTGCACACGACCCACCAAAAATAGCCCCCATGTTCAGCAAAAAAAATGGTGTGGTGATCACACAGAGCCCGGGGAAGTACTTTGTGCCTCCTCCAAAACTGTGCATTGACATGCCTGACTAAATTAAAGCATTGCAACAGCTGCTCTAGAGCTTTGATGGACTTCACATGCAGCTGGAGAAGTAGTTTTTTACAACCAAATATCTATCCATTTTTTATGTAAATCGCATGTTATAGAAGGCTAAGGATAAACTTACCCCAGACAGCGAATCACTTCCTCATTCTTGTTGTGCAGTATGGGTGCCCTGAAAAAATGTGAACAAAGGCTCCAAAAACACAAAAATATGGCCTTTTAGAAATGGCATATTACATTGCGGATAAAGTTCAGAATTATGCAGTTTCATGTGTACAACATCTAAATACCTGCATCACTATATTGAGAGCTTTACCGTTTCTAAATTAATGCATTTTGGTGTTTTTGGAGCCTTTGTTCATGTTTTTGCTGGGCCCCCATACTGCACAACGAGGATGAGGAAGTGATTTTCTGTTTGGGGTATGTTTCTCAAAAACAAGTGAAATCACACAAAAAGGTGTCTGGACCCTTCTATAACATGTCATTTACATCAAAAAATGAGATTTGGTTGTAAAAAAAAAAAAAAAAAAACTTCTCCTTTAAGAAGAGGCAGAAGAGCATAACTTTCCATGTAAGTCACTCCTAGTGACGATGGGACCGGAATTTGGACATTAGTTTTTTCTGAAAAAGAAAAACCATGGCAGAGTATGTGGAACAAAAGGCACTCTTATATCAACGTGTGTTTTTCCATTGTATTGGCAGTGGAAATAGAGAATTAGTTCCTTTTCATTGATTTATGTGCTATACTGTACAGTACTTTCTATTTACCTTGTGATGTTCTGGCCAACAAAATATCTCCAAAGTGTTCATCCTGTTTTAAAATTCCGATATCTTTCACATTATTCCAGTTGAAGATACATTCTGTTGTATGTGTGTCAGAAGTTGTGCTAGCAAATTTCCCAAACCCTGAATTTTTGTATCAATGCTCAAATACTGTATGTCAGGATGACACCAAGATCATGCTTATTAGTCTAACCTTTTCAAACCTAAGATTAGCTTGCTACCTGGGGATATTTGGTTTTGTTTTATTAAATTATTTAACTTCTCTATTGTGAGGAACATTTGTTGTAATATAGTAGTGTGTATATATAGTATTATTCCCTAAAACCCATTTGTGTTTGAATGGTTTTGCTTTCTTGGGGTATTTTCCTGAATTAAGACTCAACCCTGATCTCTGTCAACTCCATTGTATTTAAGTTTACAACCTTGTTCCTCTAATGGCCCTCTACACTGAGAATACAAAACATTAAGAACACCTGCTCTTTCCACAACATAGATTCACCAGGTGAAATCTATGATCCCTTATTGATGTCACTTGTTAAATCCACTTTAATCAGTGTAGATGAAGGGGAGGAGACGGGTTAAAGAAGGATTTTTAAGCCTTGAGACATGGATTGTTTGTGTGCCATTCAAAGGGTGAATGGGCAAGACAAAAGATTGAAGTGCCTTTGAACAGGGTATGGTAGTAGGTGCCAGGCACACCGGTTTGTGTCAAGAACGCAACACAATATTAGGAAGGTGTTCCTAATGTTTGGTATATTCAGTGTATATGACAATCATTGATGCTCCTAGTAGTTGGCATTTGCTGTTACAATAATTTGTCAGATCCAGGGTGCACAACTTCACCTTAAGGTTCCTACTAGTGTATTCTAGTTTTCAATTAATCTTGAGTATTCTGGGTAAACAGCCTGCTTGCATCTTCTACCTTGCCAGGTCTACATTGGGTAATGTAAGGGAGAAAACCTGCAGTGCCACTTCTGTATTATTATTATACCTGTGTAAAATGCTTTGTTAGTGAAATTGTGACTCACCTTCATACAAAATGGTCTCCCACATCCCCCATTGAACCCTCATGTTTTGTTTATGTTCTGTGACCACTCTCAGCTGGCCTGAGAGATGAGCATTGTTCATTTGAAAACATATTTTTGACCGCGGATGGACCAATGTTATACTTTTCCCCTCTATTGAACCTTGTTTCTTACCTTTCACCATACACATTCTGTTGCAGTATAGCTGTCTTTTTCTACTGGCAAGCACTTCAATACAAGTGTTAAATGAATACTTGCTCCAAGTGGTTAATAACATTTAAATCACTTTGTTATTGGTTAGTTATCTGGTCATCATTTTGTTGACTTGTCAGATGCATGAACATTGATTTCAAATTGAAATAATACTTTTTGGCCATAATACTTTTCCGTTTTTACATTGTGTATACTTGCAATTTACAGTGAATACAAATTATGAATGAATGGTTTCCATGGACTTGTCAGTCGCTAGATGGCACTATGAGCCTATTCTAAACATTTTTGGAACTCCCATTACCTTCTTATTAAGACGTCCTTGTTAACAGGACAAACAGGAAGTGTCTAAGGTTTGGGAGAGTAGTTGAAAAGTATTGTAGCTAATGTCAAAGATTACCTTTACGGTACGGTCGAGGACTTGCCGAGTAAATTGCATTTGTTGTAACGAGGTGGTCTATATAAATACACGTCAACCATTGTTCCTTATAATTACAGTCGGATACATGTAGCCAGCCAGCAATTTACGCGACACAAGCTCAGACGTCACAGAGACTACAAAGGGGTTGATTGACTGCGTGATGATGTGTGCAACAGCCCTTTCTTCTTACTAGCTCATTATCTTAGGAGTGATAGAGTAGCAAGCACCTGGTTGTAAGGTATTCACGACGTGGAGTGACGATGACATTACAAGTTGGTTGCCTATCATTCAAGCAGCCATATGCAGGATTAGTACTGGACGGTGTAAAGAGTATTGAGACACGTTGGTGCCCTCTGTTGTCCACAATGGAAAACTGCACTCTAGCTATTCATATTGCGCAGAAGGACTGGGAGGTCGACCAGTGGAGAGACATCCTCACCCATACACTGGGAATGAGCCACATGCAAATAGAGGAACTTCTGGCATCCGGAGACAGATTTGGCCGTGGAGTCGTGGCAGGTAAAACAGTACTATTGCATGACTTAGCAAGTGGTGAGGACTAAAACACAGCACATCTCATGCTTGATTTAAACTAGGTTTGGAATTGTAGTCTACAGATGAATCGCCAACCCCCTGTCATGTCTTGTTTTTTAGGCTTGGTGGAGGTGGGGGAGACCTGGTGCTGCTCTGACAATGTGCCAGAGGAGGATCTGAGGAAGCTGGAGAAGGCAGCAGTGCTCACTGGGCTCACAGAGAAGCACCTCACACAGCTGTCAAACCCACGCTGGCTCAAGCAACCCCTTTATGCCAGAGGTCACAAAGACATATGGACAGTAGATATCCCAGTGCAATTACTGCCATCCGTGTAGTTGTTGTAGTAAAATAATGTATACTAATTTTGTACTGACAGGATCATCTATCAAGTTAGGGAGGCAATATATTTGTAGACTACTCGCATATGCTTTAAGGTGCAATAAATGACCAATGGACTAAAGTATTGTCAATGTGATTGTATATCCTGCATGTATAAAATTCATAGACACCATAACTTTGTTGAAATAGGCATTTATTATTAATCTAAATCTGTCTGCAGGGAGAATGGGAGGTGGGGCAATCATGATTGCCTATGTGAATAATTGGAGCTCTGGGAGGTGAATCCCTGTAGCATCACTAATGGAAGACCTAAGGATATCCAGGTGGGGGTCTGGAGCTGGGCTATACAAGCTGCTTGGGCATTCCTCTTTGAGGACTGGGTAGTAAACCAGTGCTGGGGCTGCTGGAGATGTTGCTGTGTTCTCCTCTCAGCCTCCTGGGCTTAAGTGCAGAGGTCTGGTGCCAACGATATGGCTGAAGTGCTTGGGAGTGGAGCTCTGCAGTTCAGCTCAGTCGGAGTCACGTTGCCTGTATCTGCAAAGCTTGGGCTATGCTGGTGACCAGCGCTGGTCTCATTGCTGTTACCTGATTTCTCCCTCCCTATGCCAATTCTTGTGCCTTTGACCTGCACACATCTCTTCATTTGTGGCAGGAGATGTTTGAATCCTTGGCGGAAATTGGTATTGGAGGAGTAGTGCAGCTGCAGGATAAAAAAGTCAGTGTCAATAAATCACACGTCAGAATTGGAAACTACCACAACACAATTTGATATTCATGAAACTTGCCTTTGACGTGCATGCATTGTCTTCCTCAGCAATAAAGTTTGCTTAGTCAAGCCGACCTCGATACCAGACATAGGCGTTGAGTTGGCGGAGAAAACTCTTCATGCTAGACGTTTCGCAGATTTTGGGTGGTTCAGTCCTTTTCATCACCTCCCGTGTGAACAGTTCCTCGTCTATCACTACTTACATTCCGGTCTGGTCAACGATATGGCTGAAGTGCCCTCATTTCATAGATTCTATAATTTCGCTCTCTACAATGGTCCACAGTTGTTTTGGGAATTAAAGTAATAAAAATTGGCATCCACCGGTTCATTTTGAGTCTGAGCAGTATCTATCTATGGTTTCTTGGAAATGTTTTTCTGAGCCAGAATCTGGAATGCGCTCTCTTCTTCTTTTTGTCCTCGACTCCAGAGTGTATACCAATACAGGGAGAGAGCGGGGAACGCGAACTTTCAGCATGTTACCTTTCATGGAAACGTTGGTAACCGAAATGTCACATACTTTCAAAATTAATATGCAACGCAGACGTTAAGCACTATATGCGTGGCTTTACGGAGCAAAATGACCCGCCAAGCTTTAGAATTGTGATTTCAATGAAAATATGCTAATAATATTATATTGTTAAAGTCACAATTCAGATTGTTAGAAGTGGAATGGATCAAACATTCTAGAACATTATTTTGTTGAGAAAGATAGGCAACGCGAGAATGATTAATTTATTTCACTATATTGAGACAATGGGCGCTTTCACATATCCCCTTATGATCCGGATCCTGGAACGTTTGGTACCCTGATCCGCGCTATAAAGCATATGTGAAACAAAAACGAACCATGGCTGAAACGAATCCTGGACCTGCGTGAGTAGTGGGTCCAAGATCCAGGACCAGAGTACCAGATGTTGTGATGCGATAGCGCGAGTCGCGTGGAACTTTTTTGACAGTTGTAAACAAGTCAGCTCGCTAACGTCATGTAGAATGTGCGTCTTGCAGTGTTGTAGACCGGTCTCGAGACCACATATTGAGTGTCTCTGTCTTGTGTCGGATATATTTGTACTCGGTCTTGACTCGGTCTCGGACAGTGAGGACTCGTCATTTCTTCCCGAGAGTAAATGAAACTCATAAATATCAGCTTCCATTCCGTCAGCCCATAAAACTAAATATCAGCTACTATCAGCTTCCATTCCGTCAGCGCATAAAACCGCTTCGCCAGGCCAAATATATACACTCCTTTCTTGAAACATTATCTTAACAGCCTATATATCTATTACAGTGCCTATGGAAAGTATTCAGACCCCTTGGCTTTTTCCACATTTTGTTACGTTACAGCCTTATTCTAAAATGGATTAAATGTTTTTTCCCCCCCTTATCAATCTACACACAATACCCCATAATGACAAAGCAAAAACAGTTTTTTAGAAATGTTTGCATAAGTATTCAGACCCTTTACTCAGTACTTTGTTGAAGCACCCTTGTCAGTGATTACAGCCTCCAGTCTTCTTGAGTATGATGCTACAAGCTTGGCACACCTGTATTTGGGGAGTTTCTCCCATTCTTCTCTGCAGATCAAATCAAGCTCTGTCAGGTTGGATGGGGAGCATCATTGCACAGCTATTTTCAGGTCTCTCCAGAGATAAAATAAATATTGTATTTGTCATATGCACCGAATACAACCTTACCGTGAAATGCTTACAAGCCCTTAACCAACAATGCAGTTTTAAGAAAACAGAGTTAAGAAAATATTTACTAAATAAACTCAAGTTAAAAAAAGTAACACAATAAAATAACAATAATGAGACTATATACAGGGGGTACCGAGTCAATGTGCGGGGATACAGGTTAGTTGAGGTAATTTGTACATGTAGGTAGGGATAAAGTGACTATGCATAGATAATAAACAGGGGGGGTCCGGGTAGTCCGGGTGGCCATTTTATTAATTGTTCAGCAGTCTTATGGCTTGGGGGTAGAAGCTGTTTAGGCGCCTTTTGGACATAGACGTGGCGCTCCGGTACCGCTTTCCGTGCGGTAGCAGAGAGAACAGTCTATACTTGGGTGACTGGAGTCTTTGACAATTTTTTGGGCCTTCCTCTGACACCGCCTAGTATAAAGGTCCTGGATGGCAGAAAGCTTGGCCCCAGTGATGTACTGGGCTGTACGCACTACCCTCTGTAGCGCCTTACGGTCAGATGCCGAGCAGTTGCCATACCAGGCAGTGATGCAACTGGTCAGATGCTCTCTAGTGCAGCTGTATAATTTTTTGAGGATTTGGGGACCCATGCCAAATCTTTTCAGTCTTTTCAGGCGTTGTCGTGCCCTCACGACTTTCTTGGTGTGTTTGGACCATGATAGTTTGTTGGTGATATGGACACCAAGGAACTTGAAACTCTCGACCCGCTCCACTACAGCCCCGTCGATGTGAATGGGGACGTGTTCGGCCCTCCTTTTCCTGTAGTCCACGATCATCTCCTTTGTCTTGCTCACGTTGAGGGAGAGGTTGTTGTCCTGGCACCATACTGCCAGGTCTCTGACCTCTCCCTATAGGCTGTCTCATCATTGTTGGTGATCAGGCCTACCACCGTTGTGTCGTCAGCAAACTTAATGATGGTGTTGGAGTCGTGCTTGGTCACGCAGTCGTGGGTTAACAGGGAGTACAGGAGGGGACTAAGTACGCACCCCTGAGGGGCCCCCGTGTTGAGGATCAGCGTGGCAGATGTGTTGTTGCCTACCCTTACCACCTGGGGCCGGCCCGTCAGGAAGTCCAGGATCCAGTTGCAGAGGGAGGTGTTTAGTCCCAGGGTCCTTAGCTTAGTGGTGAGCTTTGTGGGCACTATGGTATTGAACGCTGAGCTGTAGTCAGTGAACAGCATTCTCACATAGGTGTTCCTTTTGTCCAGGTGGGAAAGTGCAGTGTGGAGTGCGATTGAGATTGTGTCATCTGTGGATCTGTCAGTGAAGACACTTGCCAGTTGGTCCACTCATGCTCTGAGTACACGTCCTGGTAATCCGTCTGGCCCCGCGGCCTTGTGAATGTTGACCTGTTTAAAGGTCTTGCTCACATCGGTTATGGCGAGCGTGATCACACTGTCGTCCGGAACAGCTGGTGCTCTCATGCATGCTTCAGTGTTGCTTGCCTCGAAGTGAGCATAAAAGGCATTTAGCCCGTCTGGTAGGCTTGCGTCACTAGGCAGCTCACGGCTGGGTTTCCCTTTGTAGTCTGTAATAGTTTGCAAGATCTGCCACATCCGACGAGCGTCAAAGCCGGTGTAGTAGGATTCAATCTTAGTCCTGTATTTACGTTTTTCCTGTTTGATGGTTCGTCTGAGGACATAGCAGGATTTCTTATAAGCGTCCGGATTAGTGTCCCGCTCCTTGAAAGCGGCAGCTCTAGCCTTTAGCTCAGTGTGGATGTTGCCTGTAATTCATGGCTTCTGGTTGGGATATGTACGTACGGTCACTGTGGGGATGACGTCGTCGATGCACTTATTGATGAAGCCAGTGACTGAGGTGGTATACTCCTCAATGCCATTGGATGAATCCCGGAACATATTCCAGTCTGTGCTAGCAAAACAGTCCTGTAGAGTAGCATCCGCGTCATCTGACCACTTCCATATTGAGCGAGTCCCAGGTACTTCCTGCTTTAGTTTTTGCTTGTAAGCAGGAATCAGGAGGATAGAATTATGGTCCGATTTTCCAAATGGAGGGCGAGGGAGAGCTTTGTACGCTTCTCTGTGTGTGGAGTAAAGGTGGTCTCGAGTTTTTTCCCCTCTGGTTGCACATGTGACATGCTGGTAGAAATTAGGTAAAACGGATGGAAGTTTGCCTGCATTAAAGTCCCTGGCCACCAGGAGCGCCGCTTCTGGATTAGCATTTTCTTGTTTGCTTATGGCCTTAAACAGCTCGTTGAGTGTGGTCTTAGTGCCAGCATCGGTTTGTGGTGGTAAATAGATGGCTACGAAAAATATAGATGAAAACTCTCTTGGTAGATAGTGTGGTCTACAGCTTATCATGAGGTACTCTACCTCAGGCGAGCAATACCTCGAGACTACCTTAATATTAGACATTGCGCACCAGCTGTTATTGACAAATAGACACACACCCCCACCCCTAGTCTTACCGGACGTAGCTGCTCTGTCCTGCCGATGCACGGAAAACCCAGCCAACTGTATATTATCCGTGTCGTCATTCAGCCACGACTCATAAGATGTTACAGTTTTTAAT